GTTGTAACAGCTAGTAGAATTCCATCGCAGGGTATACTATATAATTTATCCAACTCTTTCCACATGATAGATCTTTACGTTGCTAACAGTTTGTTTTTTTTTACTATTACAGATAATGCTATAAAAAAACATCCTTTTTAATCTATCTTTTGCACATTAAGAAGTATTTTCATAGGCTAGTGCCTTAGAAGTAGAGCTGCTACGTCAAAGGGTTTGAGATAGCTTGTCCTCCTGGCATGCTGGACATCTTTTTAATTTTTGTCATCAGTTTGGATGAAAAATTGAATTTCATTGTTTTAAGTTATTTTTCCCTAATCACTAGTAAACTTAAGCACCTTTAATATCTTTATTAGCTATTTGTATTTCTTCTGTTGGAGCTGCTCGTTCATATCCTTTGCCTTGTTTTCTGTTGAGTCATTTGTTTGTTTCCCTTCTTGATTTCTAGGCTGTCTCTGGATATTAGAGCTGGTATCCTTTTGTCTGCTATAGATTGCAAATGTCTGTTATTTATCTTTTAAAAATTTTATTTATGCCGGTATTTGCCATAAAATTTTATTATGGAAAAAGGCAAACATTTTCGTCTTTCTTTTATAGTTTCTTGTTTTTATCTTATACTTAGGTAGGCTTCTATATCCCAAGATTATTAAAATACTTTATATTTTCTTCTAGTAGTTTATGTATTTTTTATTATTTAGTGGTCTACTCTATATGGAATTAGTTTTTTGTAGCATGTATGGTGGAAAGTAGGGACCTATGTTAATTTTTCACAACAGATAGCTAGTTTTCCGAATTTATTTTTTGTATTGAATTATATCTGCCCTGATTTGGAATTCTCTCAATGGGTATGCTGCTTATGTTTCTTTTCTGCTCAGTTTTTGCCTATTACCGAGCTAGTACCTCACTGCTTTAATTACTGTAGCATCACAATTCGTTTTGAAATCTGAGGGGCCCGCTCCCCCTTCATTCTTCTTTTTTTTTTCAGAATTTACTTGGTTATTTTTGTACATTCTCTTTTTCCAGATGAATTTTAGAATCAACTCATCAACTTCCATAAAACAAGCAAAAAAAATCCCTCGAAGTGCCTCGGACCTTTTGAGTAATGTTTCAAGAATTGACATCTTTACGATATACGAGTTTTGCATTTATCGTGCATCTCTTAGTTCTGTAGGGGTTTTTTCCCCCAGTTAATTAGCTTGAATTCCTAGGTACACAATCACATCAGTTGTAAATAATGAAATGTTTGTCTTTTCCTTGGTAATGTTTATATCTAATTTTTTCCTTTTTAGCACTTTGTTAAAGATCTTATGATTTTCAGGACAATGCAGATTTATATGGATTAATAAACAGCACGCATCCTTCTCTTGTTTTTGACCTTAATAGGAATAACTCATTGCTTCATTCTAAAATATGACGATTGACATTGTTTCTGATAGATACCCTTTTTCAAGTTATGGAAATGCCCTTCTGTTTAGGAAATGTTGCTGATTCCTGACTGACTTACAGTTTTAACAGGTATAGAATGTTATCAAAGGCCTTTTCTGGCATCTGCCAAGGTGATAATGCAATCATTCTCTTTAATCCATTAATGTATTAATTGTGCTAATAGATTTCCTAATATTGATCTATTCTTGCATTTTTGGGATAAAACTCACTTGGTAGTGGTGTTTTGACTAAGTTGATATTTCATTTAGAATACAAATCTCTATGTTAACAAGCCCCTAAAGCAGTGCCCCCTTACCCTTTTCAAATCATGGCACATTTTGCTAAATGAACAACATTGCTCAAGGCAGAGGCAGCTGGCTTCCTGGGCTCTGCTTGGCTGCACCCCGTGCCCCAAAGCGTTAGGAGATAAATATCACATTGCCCGTGCGACCCAGCCACAGGACGCCAACGTGCTAAAGCGCACTTGGGAAGCTCTCGTTTACTGTTTTCCTTTGTGTGGTACTGTTTTCCTGATTTAATACCACAATTGTGTTACCTTTGTGAATGAACTGGATTTTTTTTTCTTATTTTAAAATGTATGTGCACTTGGACACAAACTGTTTCCTTGAACAGTTGGTAACAGTCTCCCATAAAATCATTTTGTCCTGGTGCTTATTTGGGGAGGGGGTGGGTAGAAATGTAAATCTTCCAATTTCTTTGATGATTGCTCTATCCAAGTTTTCCTCCTCTCCTCGGGTAAGTTTTGTCAATCTGTCTGTAAAACTCTCCCATTTCATCTGGAGTTTCAAATGTATTGATTGGAAGTTGTATATAATATTTTCTACTGTGTATTAATTTGCATGTATGTGGCTGTATCCCTTTTCTGTTCTTTTTCTTAATAGGATTGTCCATAGGTTTGTGTATTTTAGTTTCAACTTTGAAAAAAATGTGTTTTTAAAAAATATCACTTTCTGCATTTGTTACTTCCTTCTCTCTATTCTTTGGTTCGGTCTGATCTTTTTCTAGATTATTTAAGTGAATGCTTGCTTTATTTTTCAATGTTTCTTATTTTCTATTTATGCACTTAAATTATAAATGTTCCCCTGGATACATGTTTGACTGCATCCCATAGTTTTCACATGTAGTGTTATCATAGTTCTTCTTTTGTCACCTCATCTGTAATTAGTTTTGTTTTTCTTTTTAATCCAAGAGTTCTTTAGAAATGTACTTATGTATTTCAACATAGTTAGGTTTTAGTTGATGTTTTGTTTTGTTTTTCTATCTTTTTTTCCCCTTCTTACTACTTATACTGTCTCATGGATGGAGAATGTTTACTGCTTGAATTATATATTTTGGAATATTTTGTGTCCTAATGTAATACATTTTTATAAATATTCCATGGGCAATATGTATTTTCTTTTTGTTTGGGTAGTATTTTATCATATTTCTACATATTAAATCAAACTTGTTCATTGTTATTCAGATTTTCCCTTTTTATCTGCTTGATATAAA